CGGGAAGGTGCTCAATCACCATGTGCAGACACACAGCCAGTGGATGATCAGGTGTCTGAGCAGCACAAAGGGGAGGGCCATCATGACGGCAACATGGGAGAAGCAGTGAAAACATGTGGCATAAAGCCTGGCCAGAGGAAGCCCTGTGATTATCAGCAGCTGTTAATGGCACTCTGAGCAGGGCCCATGGCACCCGCAGACCCATGCCACACCGGCCAGGCCTTCAGGGAGAAGGAAAGCCACCCGTTGGCACTCGTCATGGGAGAACCAGGGCTCTGATGGGGCAACAAGGCCAGGAAATGGCTTGACGCAGTCACTCCTTCCACGAGGGCCCTGCCCATGCCCCCCTTCCTCCCGGGAAGCAGGCTGGGCACCAGGATATAAACAGTCCACTGTGACTAAGCCTCCGTGTCCACTCCAGGTCATTGATCCAGTATTGACTCGGGGAACAGAAGTCAGCAGACTTGAGCGTGGTTTTCAGGTGTCTTCCTGGAGGCAGCCCCCAGGGGCAGTGGGGCTCCGCAGCAGCCCGCCCCACCTCCACCCCAGGCTCACCTCCCAGGGCCAGCCTTCTTGGACTTCCCGCAAGAACACGCCTGGCCACCATCCCAGCCCCTGGGGACGGACCTCAGGCCAGTGGTTTCTCTGGGGAGATGAGGTCATCCAGAAGGAGTAGGAACTCACAGGGAAGAAAATTTCCACTCCAGCTCTTGAGTTACTGATGCACAGTCAGGACAAAATGCAGCCTGGGTGACAGGATGAGCCAGGGCACCACTGTTCCACGGGCCAGGGGGCAGTCGGGTCCGACAGACCTGGGTCCGAATCCCACTAGGCATTTTCCTTGCTGATCTATAAACCCAATCCGCTGCCCTTCTAGAATGCACTGCATCTGAGGGATCCCAACCGGGAAAGGTCAGCGAGGTTGCCTGGGAAGGGCCAGCAAGGCGGGGCAGGTGGGGAGGGCTCTTTGGCACAGTCTCCTTCCCCTGCAGACGCCATCTGTTGGCTTTCCCAGAGCCACCAAGCTTGTGCGGTCTTCTGGAACCACAGGCCACACTTGCAGAACGAAGAGTCACTCCGGTCGCTCCAGGCTTGCCTTTGGGCCCCCCCACGCCTCGGCATATGCCCACTCCCTTCTGCCTTCTGTCCTCTCGGGGCTCCCTCCTTGTGGCCGGGTGCACCCCGCCTCACGTGCCCTCGGCCCCCACGGACAGGATGCTGGAGGTGGAGGCAAATGTCAGTGCCGGCCCTTCCCCTGCCCTGTCCAGCCCATTTCTCCAGCATTCTCTCAAGAGTGATGCTCTGCAGGTTGGTTTTGTTTTAAAACTAGTCAGAAAGAACAATGTCTCAGCCCTGGGAGACTTCGCTCCCGAGCAAGCCCCTTCTGAGAACCCTCGAGGGCTGAGGCTGCTTTTCTGGGAACCAAGGAAGGCTGTCGACAACACATTCCGTTACCTACTAGAACATTCCATTCTATTGTTTCCACGAGTTACAAACAACCACAGCCTAGATTCGAGGGAAATGAGTCAGGGCAGGCACTCGGCCGCTGTTTCATCCTTGAAATAACCACAGAATCCTGCGGATGCTTTCTTGGGAGAGACGGGCCCTACACTTGGCTGAGGCCTGGAACGGGGGCTTCCAGTGAGAAGCATGTGCAGGACCCAAGACCAGCTCCAGGCCCCACAAGGAAGGCTTACCGCCTTGTTCAATCCAGCAGCAGATGAATTTGGAGAGGGGCAAGGCTTGCCCTCCCATGGGAGGACTTAGTCATGCAGTCAACCAAGAAGACCCTCGCTGACTCGATGTCTTTGCTCTTGTAAACCCAGCTGAGAACAGCGCACGGCTGTCTTCATGTCCGAGTCTTAGGCCCGCCGGAGACACCTCCTCGCCCTACCAAGAAGGCAGTCTCGCCCCTGTCCCTTCTGCTAGAGCAGGCAGAATGGGCTCCCGTGGCCTCCCCAAGACCCTGGCCGGCCACCCGATGGCATGGTCCCCACACCTGCCACGTCTGGGTTCCAGTAATCCATTTCATCCCTTTGGACCTCAGAATAAAAGCTCCCCAGGAGGCACCCAACAACACAGTGGTCGTGGGCCCCTCTCCCTCCTGTCCAGGACGGCTGACCCCGGACTCCCGGGCTGATCCTGAGGGTTCTGAAGGGTGGTGGCCAGCCATGGGGCCACGGTGGAGAGGATGCCCGGCATTGTCTTCATGACGCATTTACGTCATGTTAACTATTATGCGCCACAGGAAAGGGAATTGACGCAGTAAATAGAATTGCTATTAATATTTCTTAAGTGCGCTCACCGCATTGTTCTGATTTGCAGCAGAGAGCACGTAGCGCTACTGGTTCTAACCCTGTGGACCCTCCTCATTCCACTGCTGGACCCTCGTCTTGCAAGGGTTTAGAAGACAAGATGGTATCGCGCACGAGTGGGATTTCACCCAGCTCTACTCTTGCATGGAAATCCCACTAGCGCCAGGCCAACCGTGGAGCGGAGGAGGGAAACTGAGTTTCCCCCAGCTGATGTGTAAACATAAGCGGGTCCCACCTGCCTCATGGGGCCGCGTGGGGCTTCATGGGGCCGCATGGGGCTTCCCGGCACCCTCCCTGGGCCCTGGGCTTTGGGGGAGCCAGGGAGGGGGGGATGAAGAGGATTAGAAGGTCTCCAGCATCCCGGAAACTTGTTTATTTGATTTTTTTTTAAGGCTGCTTAATAATGTGTAAGAACCAAATTTCTTCTCGTGAGTGCGGGTGGGCGAAGGGTGGTTATTTTTAAGGGAATGACTAACCATCTTCATTGTTAGTGTTTTATAAAAAAAAAAAAAAAAAAAGCAATGGCGTATAAAGCATATTGAGCACCAAACAGGGCAGAGGGAGTGCTTGGTCTAATGTCCAGGCTGGTGTGCTCGGGCCACCTGAGCTTCCCTGCCGCGTCCTTGCAGGCTGGTGGCCACGCTGAGGTCTATAGTCTTGGGGCAAGGAGGCCCCTCCCAGGCCCATGGCTGCTGTGCTGGAGCGCACACTGAGATGTCACCGTCCCCCGCACAGAAATCTAGGTGATAAACCAGCAAGCAAAACCAGTGCCCAAAGTCCCTCCCCACGCGTTTGCCAAGTGGATTTCGTGCACTTTCGGGACCACCGGTGGCTCAAGGGCACACTCACCATCTCCTTCCTGCCTTCGTCCTTCTCCTGGAGCTTCAAATGTGCGGACACCTGCCGGGGGTGGGATCAGAACAGATGGCGGTCAGCAGGGCACACCTCACTCTGACACTACAGAGGACACCCCTCGGAGGTCTGGGCTTCCCACCCCCCCTGGGCTTCACAAAGGCAGGGCCCAGGACAGCAGTACATGTCCGGGATGCTTCCTGTCATGTCAGATGGCTTCTCTGCTGTGCCCAGAGGGAAGGCAGGTGTGGGCACCCGACCGACCGGGACACTCCAGCCATCAGTGAAGACCACTGCTGTATATCTAGGAAGTCCATGGGCCACCTGTTGAAGCACCGACAGACTAAAATGACCCACCGTGGAGTGTTCACAACACAGAAATTGGCCAGTGCTAAATGTGAGGACTCCAGTTTTGTGGTCATTTTGTTTTGCTTGAGGTCCTGTTTGCTGGCACACCAAGGGGCCCCTGGCACTGCTTGGTGAGACTCGAGGGGCCATCAACATCCAGTATTGGCCCTGGTTCTGGCCTGTCCCGTTCTGGGGGTGACCTTGGGGGACAAGGCCTTGCAGGGGACAAGGACAAGGGGGACTGCTCCGTTTCCTCATGGGCACACTTTCCAGCCGGTGAGCTGGGGGAGAGGCCAGGCCTGGGGTGCTTGCAGGGCCAGCTGCCCACTCGGCAACACCCAGGGTCACTGTGCGGTCTGCCTGGTGGTCTTGAGGGTCAGAGACAGCACGTGGAAATGCACAGCCGTTCTGACACGTGGCTGGGATGGGGTGCAGGTGTCCAGTGTCATCCCTACGCCTGTGGCAGGACCTTCAAAACCAAAAAGCAGTATTCCCTCAAGCGAGAGGTGATTTTCAAAGGCATCATAAAACTCTCCAAGGTCAAAACCTAATTTCATTCTGAAAATGAACTTCACAGCAGAGCGTGGTGACAGGTTGGGGACTGTCACCAATCTTGTCTGCACAAGAAAGCAGTGATCGAGCTGGAAGCCAAAGGGAAGTTTCTCAGTCAAGTAACCAAGTGCTGAGTTGAGTAACTGGCTGAGAAGCTCAATTCTGGTCGCCCAAGAGAATGGTGAAGTAGCCCTTCAGGGATCAGCAAAGCTTGAATTTTCTAAATTTGCTGTTCTGTTTGAACGCCTCCTGAGCTCCTGGTGCTGCAGTCAGAATGGCCATGTAGAGGCAGGATACACTCTTAGGGGCCCCGGGCACGGGGCTGCTGGTGAGGTCCAGCCCGGTGGAGAGTTCTCCCCCTTTCCAGAACACTCAGTCCCCGGGGACACGAATGAGGACAACCCGCAGAGCAGGTTAGGGGGCAGATCGCGTATCCGACATCTTACTCTGCATCCCTTTGCTGAGATAAGAACCCCCTGGAGTAGCCCTTCAGATGAAACGCCGGGCAGCTACTCTCCAACCCCGCAGAGAGGAAGCTTTGCCCCGTCCAAATCAGAAGCACAGGGCAAGACCTCTCTTGGCAGGGAAACCAAGGCAAACGCCCGTTTATCAACCAGGGACGTAAGGCAGAACTGCTGAGAACGGGGAGGGCCGAGAGGCCGGGCACGGTCTTTGGCAGCAGGCCAGGAGAAGGCAGAAAAGCAAGCAGCCTGAGCACATGCCGTCCGGGCTGCTCCAGACCCCGTCGTGCAGGCGCCCCGAGCTCACTGCCACGCTCCTGGTGACTGGCCGGGCCTTTGTGCATACGGGGCCTGGGATGCAGGGGGGTGTGCAGCAGATGCTTGTTCCGATCCCCCGACCCCGGCCGGCAGGGCGCTGACGACAGGACACTCAGGGCCCCAACCCAGGCGCCAGGTTGGGGACCTCAGGCCTAGAGCCACAAATAAGTAAGGACAGCTGATGGCGCATGGGCGGTAAGATTGTGGCCACCTCTAGGTGGTCACCCACAGAAGGTGGGTCAATAGCCTTCTCACAAACTTGACCATGATTTCGCCGTCCAGAGTCCGTGAGAACCTGGGGTGTGGGGACCTTGTTTTCGATGAGGCTGTCCAAACAGCAGGCCTGGTGCCAGAGCCCCACCTGCCGGTGCGCAGGTGACCCGCAGAGGGCGCTGCTTTGTCCGATGGGGACGAGGGAGGCCAGGCCGGGGCAGGCCCAGGCCAAGGGGGCGGCTCACCATCATGGCCTCCTGCACCGTGAGATGTGGCAGCAGCATGTCGTCCTGCATGATATAACAGGACACCTTCCGGAAGCAGCGCAGGTCCCGGGGCAGGCCGTTGATGAGGACGGCGCCCTTCATGCCCGTCTCCCTGCAAGCACACAGAGCACACGGTGAGCTCCTCCTCCAGGGCCTCGGGGAGGGAGGGGGCCCCTCCCAGCAGCTTCCCAGCTGGACCGTTTATGGCAGGGACGCCAAGGGGCCAGAAGGGATGGAGGGGGCGACCCAGAACAGCACCAGGACGCGCAGGACGGAGCTGCGTGGAGAACATGCTCAGGATGAAAGGGGAAGGGGCACCGAGCCCCTAAGGAACAGGTGCTAATAAGCAGAGATACTCGTGGGTGCTCCCACCTGCGGCCCCCAGGTCGGAGGGACACCCCGGCTCTGCTGGGCTTTGTGAGATTGGCTTCCGAATGATCTCGTGAGTAGCCAAGGCCACACCAAAGGCCCCAAAGGCCAGGACTCTGCAGCCGAGGGTGTCGGTCAGAAGCAGTTCCTGAGGGCACGAGGGGAGCAGACTCCCGGTGCACAGGTGTCTCACAGGAGGGGCTGGGCCCTGCACCCCTGTGGCCAAGGGGATGCTCCTTCTCCACAGGGGAAGTTGTCCCCTCACTCAATAGATCGGGGCATGGCGTGTGCATCTCGGAGACGCCAGCCACCCTCTCTCGCGCCCCCTCCCAGACCCACTGTGCATCTGCGCTGCCCCATGCCCTCCCCGTGCGTCATCTCAGCCCCGGGGAGGGGGCGGAAGCCACAGGCATCCCCCTGAGGACCTGCCTCCTAGACGTCCCAGAGCACAGAAACACCAAGGGGCTGTGGAGACCAGTGCAATCCCGGCTGGTTTCCAACTTCATCCCGGCCAGTACTGCGACCTTGGGCTCGTTCCTCCAGGGCATGGGCCGGGATCCCCTGGCCACCCTTGGGGCCAGGCTTGGGGCCCAGGCACCTCCAGGCAGCGGTCGGCGGCCCCAGGCTGCCTGAGCACCCCCGGCCAGGCAGCGGCTGTGGGTCCGTGGACGTGCTGAAAGTGTCTGCCCTCCACCCCTGCCACGCACCCCCATGATGCTGGGCATCAGCTGCAAGCTTTTGATGTGAATGCAACAGGCAGAAACTTGTCATATGGGAGGTTTTTAAAAATCCTAATTTCTGGCATTAAAGAGTAATTCAGAGGTCCTAAGGAAAGGGGTGATATTCGTCTTTTTTTCCAGGAGATGAAATTATTAGTAGTATTAGCGGTATTTGCTAATGTTGGCAAATGGGAGCCCGAGAGCGGAGGACAGAGGATCTAAGAGGGCAATTTAACACTTGGAAAGATTCAGTTTTCCAGCCGCTCTCCCAGGAAAGACACTGGCAGGACGTCGGGGGCTAACACAGGCCCAGGCCAGAGCACCTGAGCCCCGGGCCCCTGTCTGACGGTTCTCCTGCTGCTCACCTTACATTTTTTTTAATCTTTTTTTTTGAGAGAGAGCAGGGAGAGGGAGAGAGCGAATCTCAAGCAGACTCCCCGCTGAGCTCGGAGGCTGATGCGGGTCTTGATCTCATGACCCTGAGATCATGACCTGAGGCGAAATCAAGAGTCGGACGCTGAACCGACTGAGCCACAGAGGCGCCCCAATCCTAAGGCCTCTTAATGCTCAACCCCACAGGCCTCACCGGAGTCTGTGCAGAACCTTAAGAAGTGACAGGACAGACCGGGCAGCTACTCTCCAACCCCGCAGAGAGGAAGCTTTGCCCCGTCCAAGTCAGAAGCACAGCTCTACTCACCTGTACCCAGCCAGAATGTTCATGAGCGTGGACTTCCCAGCCCCGGAGGGCCCCATGATGGCCACCAGCTCCCCGCTGTTGAACTTCCCGGAAATCCCTTTCAGGAGGGTCTTGTATCCTGCAGAAAGCACATCACATTCATTCCCAGCCATCGTGGGGTCCGTGGGTTCGACCCCCACACAGGAAGGACAAACCCACAAATACGCTAAAGACACAACCAAGACTAAAAGCAAGATTTTTCATGCGTTGCGTAAAATGCCGAGCTCTGGGTGAGAAAGTCAGCCTCCTATGTGCCCCCTTCCTCAGCTGCCTCTCGCGGTCCCCTTGGCAGCTCCGAGCTCTGCACGCGCGGTGTCTGGCCTACGAGGAATCCACCTCCTGGTGGGACAAGGAAGCAGGTGCCTCCTCCAGGACCCCAGAGCCAGTGTGAACAGATCTTAACCCAGGGCCACGCCACCCGCCACGCTGCCTCCGCCCCCATGACGGTGAGCAAGCGCCTTTATTAATCAAATGATTCTTCTTTCATTTATTTATACTTTATATTCATATAAACTATTCGTGTAAAATTGATTCACATATCATTATCTTATAATTAAATAATTAAAATAGCATTAATTAATTAAGAATTAAGAGTTTATCATTTTGCAGCCACATCAAATTGCTCTGGAATTTCTGCCAAGTCTCCATCCGGGAGCTGCATCAAAGGAAAACACACCCCACACAGAGCCACGTTAATCTTTCTTCGAGGGGACTGTTCGATGTGCTATAAACAAAATAGAAGCAATTGGACCACAGGTAAAGGCTCCTAATTCAGAAACATTTTCTCAGTTCCTGAGAAACATCCTCAGAGCAGACCCTCCAATGGTCACAATCATGCAAACGAAGTATTTGACCCCCCACACCCAACGGTTACAGGGGCGAGTGAAGCGCCCCACGGAGCCCCTTGTTCTGGCCGTCTGCTCCCTGCACCCCCACACCTGCATGGGCCTAGGGAGTTCTCGCCCAGTGGTCTACTCGTCTTTCACAGATGAGACACCTCCACTCCCACCGGTCACCAGGTGCCACCTCGATTTGGACAGGGAGTGCCCGAGGACCAGTTTCCTCAGGCAGGAGAGAGAGGCAGCAAGCTGTGGCCCTGCGATCTGCCTCATTACGGACAGCGACAGTCGCCTGGGGAGGGCTGACAGTCACCGAGGTGGGAGAGGGGTAGAGGAACAGCGCACATGCGCAGTCTGGAGGAGGCGCTCACATGCCTACCCCCGGGACGAAGGTGACTCAGGTCAGCTAACAGGCACCAGAGCCAAGGGAGACCAGTGTGGGGAGGGGCCCCAAAGCATAGAGTCTGTGTCTGCCCCTTGGTGGACAGACACACGGAAAAGCTGGGGGACAGCAGAGGCTTCTCCTCTGCAAGGTCAAGCTCCTGGTGCAGGGGCCCCCGTCAGGCACCCCGGGGCCTGGGCCACGGGGACCTGCATGACATCACCGAGGGAGTGTTAATGCCGGGCGGACGTCTGTTCGTTTGTGGCTGGCCTCCTGGCGGTTCAGGTCAGGACCGGGGTTACCCTCGAGCAAACCCTCCCTTAGGCTGTTCTGTGAATCAGGGACCACCTGAGGATGCAGGTGAGTCCCTGAGATGACCACGAGCTGGCCACCGGCCGTTTGGAGGCCAAGTGCAGTCTGCTGGCCTGGGGGCGGCCCTCCATCCCGGGGTTCTGAGAGGCCCTTTCCCTCGGGGCAGCGCCCACGGGGGATCCTCTGACAGCACCCGGGCCTGTCCCTTGGTATCGGGGTGCACACTGTGCACCAGATAATAGCACAACCCACTCAGGCTGTGCTCGCCAGGATGCGTACCAAGGATGCAGGGCTGTGGGGGCAGCAGGCCCTTTCAAGGGAGAAGGTGGGCCCCTGGGGTGTAGCCTGTGGTCTTGTCATTTACACCAAGCGAGTGGGAAGGTGGGTCTGCCCATGAACCCCTGGGCTGGCTGCGCCGATACATGGCCAGGTCGTGCGAGGCTTGTGAGGCTCAGGACTCGAGCCTCCGGGAGGGACGCTGGCTCCCAGCACAGCCTGAAAGGACAGGGGACCTGCGGTAGGCTGGCTGGGAGGGGTCCTCCCGTGAGGGGCCTGCACAGGGTCGGGCAGCCGAGAAGGGGCAAGACGCAGCTCGGGGCTGCCCCTCTCTAATATCAGAAACCTGCTTTTCTTAGAAACAACAAACACAGGTTTGGGATAGAAGAATCACAAAAGCGACAGTGGAAAGTGAAGAAGTCACCTCTCTGTCCTACTTCTGGACCCGCAGGGGTCCACGTGCACACTTGGAGCTGGGGACCTCGGTCTGGTGCTGGGGGACCGGGAATCCCCGTAGAGTGGCGTTTGTGGGTGTCCCACACGTGTACAACTCTGTCTTTATGTAACAAAATTGTCCTCGGCTGCAGAGCCTTGCACGTGTCCCCTTATAGAAATACGAAATGGAGGTGCCCTACTTCCCGCCCAGGAGCTCCGCCCAGCCCAGTTCTGGGCACAGTGGAGGGGCCGCCTGCTTCCTCCTCCGTGTGCTGTGGACACTCGTTTACACGGGGGCTTGTCCTGCTGCTTCTGGTCGGGGTTGTGATGCTCAGAGGATCCCAGGGACAGAAACCACAGAGGGGCAGGGCCAAGCAATGCCCATCAGCCCCCCGCAAGGTGCGGGCAGCCCGTCTCTAAAACAGTCAGTCCAGAAACCAAAGCAAAACCCAGACAAGAGAGGAGAGGAGAGAAGAGACAAAGACAGAGAGGACAGTGCCTGGTCCCTCCCTCACAAGGACAGGAACCCTGCTCGGACACCGGGCCTTCCCATCTCAGAGGATGCTGGCAAAGCTCTGGCACCCAAACCCAGGTTAGCGCACGATGCTTTAGAGGGACACGGTGTCTGTCCCACCTACAAGGGTCAGGGGACACACAGCAGCATAACTTCAGTTGAGTGGGGGGCACACAGATGTCTCCTTTTGTAGAAACAAGCCCTCGAAGGAGAAGCTCAGAGTACAGCCCTGGGTGCACACGATCCGTAATTTGCAGACGAGAAGCAAGGGCTCAGAGAGGGTTAATGACCTGCCCAAGGTCACACAGCAGGTCAGCAGAGAAGCCCACATTCCATCCACATTGCCCAACCCCAGAAGTGTCTTCCCCCCGGGGCATGAGCCTTTGCCAGGGCCGGGAATGCAGCTGAGAGGCTTGGGGGGCTGCAGCGGCTCCCATGTGTGGGTGGCTCCCATTAAATCACCGAGGTCGGTCAACTCGGGAATGTGCCTTCAGTCTGCTATGCAGGAAGCACTTCCCAGAGAACGGGAAGACAGGACACGCCTTCCTTCCCCAAAAGACGAAATCACCCCATTGCCGGAGGCCAACGATGCCACCCGGGTCATGTTTCAGAAGCTAAGGCCAAAACCCCCTGTGTGCATCCAAAGAGCTCTGAGCCAGTCAATCCTCCCTTACCCTTCAGGTGCTTCTTTCCATAAAATGCCATCTGAGCCCTTGGGGACCCATTAGGCTCCCAATCCCGGTTTCCTGCAGAAAATAATAAGCAGTTCATCCCGCAAATTCCAGCAAGCAACCGGCTCACTCAGATTTGGTTTTGCAAGTTGTGGCATCAGAAGCGGCGGCTGTCTCTAGAGAGGTCCCAGGGTCGCTCAACCCCCGGGTCTGGTTTCTGAGCCGCACCAAGCAAAGGCGCGCTGTCTCCCTGTGCGGGGCGGCCAACAGCAGCAGTGGGTCCCCCGGGAGAGCAGGGCAGGTTCTGCCGTTGTCCGAAAGTCAAATGCCATCCTGAGAGTTCAGCACGCTGACCCCTGCGGGCCCAGCACGCCACAAACATGAGTGTGGACAGACCATCGTGGTGCGTGGAGCCCTGCAGGCAGAGGCCACAGACGGGCCACCGTCCCGGGTTTGTTCCCTCACTCAAGACCTTGCCAAGGTGGCTGTGTCACCCAGAATAGGCCACGTTCCAATAAACCTTACTTACAAACAGAGGAGGTGGGCACATTCGGTCCCCAGGCCGCAGTTTGTGAACCTGCTCCAGAACTTCGGAGTGGGGTTGGCCTGGCACCCAGGGCAGCTGGGCTCCTGCCACGTCATTTCTCTCGGGCAGGTGTGCTTGCAAGGTTGAGGAAAGGCCAGGTAAGGATGGGGTGCCCCTGCTCCGGGGAGAACAGGAGAGCTGAGGCAGCTCTGAGAGGAAGCGAGCTTCACTCTACACCCAGGGGCCAGGAGAACGCCGACTGAGACCCAGCTCATTAGCAGGACCGGTGATGGCCTGTCAGTGCTCACTGATGGACGGCTTTACGGCTGCTGGTCCCCATCACTCCCAGACCTCCCACAGGTACCAACCTAGCTAGGGAGCCACGCTGCTGGGGGTGGGCGGCATCCCGGCCACAGTCTCCGGAGTCACCCTCAGGGGCCACCTCATCACAGGCCCTCAGGGCAGCTGCTATCAGGGGCCCCACTTCCATGGGAGCACAAGGAAAGGTGACCTCAGGGCCCATTCTCTGATAGAGTGTTCTAGTTCATGTCTCCAAAGCTCACCTAGGTACACTAGAAACACATTCCTTCAAAGCAATCCTCAACTGCTTTGGGGGTTTTTCAGGCCTTGAGTGTTGGGAGTTCAGGGTGAGAACTCTGGATGGATGGAGGTATGGAGGGAGACAGGGATGGAGGGATGGGGGACGGAGGAAGTGGATGTGCAAGGTATGGAGGGAGACAGGGATGGAGGGGGGGGGGGGTGGGGAGGGAGGGAGGGGATACAGGATGGAGGGAGGAAGGGAGGGATGGGGGGATTTGTGCTCCACCACTCTAGTGGACAGAATAATAGCCCCCAAAATTGTCCACATCCTAATCATTAGCATCTGTTACTTTACAGATGGGATTAAAATAAGGATCCTGAGATGGAGATATTATCCTGGATTATCCAGTCAGGCTCAAAATAATCACAAGGGCCTTTCTAAGGGAAAGAGGGAGGCAGGCGGGGCAGAGGCGGTACCAGGAGATATGACCAAGGATGCAGATGTTGGGGAAAGAGAAATCTGAAGACGCTACCTGCTGGCTTTGAAGACAGGGGAAGGGGCCGCAAGGCAAAGAGTGTAACCACTGGAAAGCTGGGAGAGGCAAGGAGAAGGTGCTTCCTTGAAGCCTCCAGAAGGAAC